GTGACGGGCGTATTATATACCGCTCGCGGTAACCTTGTTTTATATTGATATATATGCACGTTAAAACAGTAGGTAGACAACGTTATTTACATGATAGTTCACAACAAATATAAAACACTTACGTAAAACAGTTTAATTAAATGATTCACTTACAATTTCCTGTTTGTTTGTTTTAAAAATGATGTTCAAAGGTTTACGCAATAAAATATGACTCCACTGATGACTTATTTATAAAAAAAGTAGATTGAGTGAATTTTGGGGAGAATGTTCTCGGTCTGGTACATTGTGTAAACAAGTTTGCTCGGTAAATGGTGATTTTTACATCCTCTGACCCAATTATGGTTATAATATTATTGGGGTGATAGCGTCAACATAAAATAAAGTTTTAGATCAGGGATTAATCTCTATAAAACTGAGGGATCGTATGATGTATTTCCATTTGGCTGAGGAAATGTCAATTCTCACATCGTAATTAATACAAATATTTTGTTTACACTTGATACAACAAAATGAGCCAACAATATACAGTTCCTAGTCAAAGTGTTATTTCCCAACCCACATATACTGATATGAGGACAACATTAATCACCAAAACCAAAATTGATATGAGGCCTTAAGCAATACCAGATGGGAATATGACGTCATTTATAATATATGAATTCTCACTCCCGCAGAATACTCTGAAGAACACACATTCATTATTTATTGATTACCTGGAAAAAGTCTTTCATCCACATCTATTGAACATTCCTGACAATGTTTGGGATGTTTAAGGCGACAAGTAGGGAGTATATGTTAATGAGAACTTCCCCAAGAATAGAAAAAAAACATAAGATGAAAAGACCAAATAACGCTGGCATTTGCCCCAACTTAGTGTCCGGCTTCTAAGTATTGCTAAGAAGTTAAAAAATACACTTCGTCAATGTCCATATCAACACGGATCATTAGCTATTGAAATTTATGTTAGAGGCAAGTGTCAAACCTCTAAATGTAAAAGGAGAACTTGTAAAAAGTGATTGAAATATGATGAAACATCGCTATTTTGTTTTTCACCCTGTATCAAATATTGTCCCTCCAACTGAAGATCTCAGACTAACATTGGTATCTTAGGTTGATACGAGCCTAGATATGTTTGATATAACTGAGGGATAGTATTTTCAACTTAAAGAGTGTAAAATGTCTCCATATAAATTTTGGGACAGAAATTAAGCTATAATCGCAGAAGTGACGTCTTAAAACATTGAAACACAGTGTAATGACATGTTTATCACGTTATTTTAAAAGGTTTTTTTTTCGTTTTTAAATCATGCTGTGTGTGTGTGATTGAATTAGTGTACACAACTGATTAAAGCCATTTCAGCATGATTGGTTGTTCTCCTCTGCAGCTAAAAGTGTCATTGTTTTTTAATAAAATTGTGGGTTACTATATTTGGCTGTTTTGATGTAGATTGGGGATAATTTATTGAACATTACTGATAATGTTTTTGAGGTCCTCAAAAGCCTTACCTGTTGTGTAAGTAGTTTCCAAAATGCTATCATTTCAATTTTCAAGTGGCTGAGTATTTCTTTTCATCCCATATCACTTGGTGACATTCATTTTGGTGACCCAAGAAACGAGCAGATATTTTGATGAAAGAGAGACTTCTCGATATATTAACATCTTGGCATTTAGTTAATCGGCTATTTTTTTCAGATGCCCTGCTTAAGATTGCAAGGATGGAAGGTATTGGGGCATTGTGGAACGGCACTCTTCCGTCCATCGTCTTGGCGTCCAATCCGTCCTTACAGTTTATGGTGTATGAGGTGGTGAAACGATACTTTCAGAAACTGATGAAGACAAAGGTATGTTACTGTAAAATATACGCAAGTCATGTACACATGTTAACAAGAACAAGTTGAAATTAGCCAAAAATCCAGATGGTTCGACTATCATCTTTAATTTTTTTTTAAAGAAACAGTCATTCATGAAATTGATAGACATTTTTATGGAGAAAAGGAAAGTGTGCGTTTAATAGAGCACATCGTATTTGTTATCAAGACCTTTGTGTGTGTGTTACGCACATCTATCTAGACCATTATATATTCTACTATTTAGTACCAGCAATGAGGACGTTTTACACAAATACAAAAAGAATCTTGATATGTAGATAACAGACGATAAAGTTGTGTTATTTTAATCTGGCGTTGTTAAATTGCAATGAATCTTGAAAAACTAAATTTTGTCATGCCGGTAACTTACCTTATAAATTCAAGGTTTGATTGATGTTTCCTCTGTTCTGATTGATTACTGGTGAACCTGTACACAGGGCCAGTCTTTTTGACATTTTTTATGTTTTATTATAGGACCTCAGTGGGTTCCTGTACTTTGTTATTGGGGCCGTTGCCAAGGCAACAGCTACCATCACAACATACCCTCTTCAGGTTGTGCAATCACGTCTTCGGGTAAGATGAACTTTTTATCCAGTAATTATTTTAGCATGTATTTATAAAGTTATATAGACATAAACTGCGTGTTGTCACTGGACTGAATATGAAAGCCAAAGGAATAAAAATAGAGGATACATGCAGTTTCAGATGTTATTTTTATTTATTGTTTTTGTGTCAGGCTGGGTACAACAAAGAAGAAAGATCTGCAAGCATATTAAGCAGTTTGAAAGAGCTGATTAGGTAAGTATCACTGTTTGTACAGTATACATTGTACAGTATTGATAATGATACAATTTATAAAAACCGAAGAAGTATTTTGGGGCAAACAAAGGACACGACCTTATCTTGAATTTGCCATGAACCAGTGACAACTGTTTGGTTGAAGATACACGACATCCTACAACAACTTAAATCACAAACTCTTATTAGAAGGTTATGTCTTTTATCAGCTCAATAACAGCTATCTGAATATCTACTGCAATTGGCTCTTCTGTTAATAGTTGAAGAACATTTGTATGTCGAATGACCTTGCAATGCTCTCAACATATGTAAGTTTTAATCGAAATCTGATAACCTTAATGACATCACTACGTCAACGTCAGCTTACGGTCGATACACGATGTTAAAGTGATATGCGTCAAGGGCTGCACATTTTCTATGTTAAGGTTGTTTTTGGGGGGGTTGAACGTTCTTAAAAACAGCCAGGGTCATATTAGGAAGGATGCCTATGTAGACATCGCCTGAAACAGAAAGTATGTATATTCTGCAGGGGCCCCACATAAGTCCCCTCATACGATCATGCACCCGTTTCCATGTTAAGTATCTCTATCGTAATAAAGAGGTTATTGTCAGCACTGCAGTGAACCTTTTAATGAACAGGTAGTCCTTAAACGTGCCGGTTACTGCTGAACTTAGTATAAGAAACTTGTTTTGTGCACACGATATCACTGTTCTGGTATAATGACCTTGATTCACTCTCTTCCCGATAGAACAGAAAATACGAATTTCTGTTATACATTCTTCAATCTCGAAATCGTCTTCCTGTTCCTCTCTCCAAACCCATGTATCCCATGAATCCCAGAAAACATGAAACATGGACGTGGACGTAGCCAACCTGATATGAGAAAACATATGTTCAAAGTATTTTTTCAGACTACTCAAAACACTCGCAGCTTTGTCTTTCCGTTGATTGAATTGACGCTCAAAATTGTCCAAGTCAAAAGGCAAGGGGAACACTGAAACTCGTGGCTGACTGACACTGATGGACAAAGATCCTCATCTCATCTAATATTGATGTAACGGAACATGTATTTTGCCAAGTCACTACAGTGTTACACTAAAGTAAACCGTTCCAAAATGAAAGCAATTAGAGACAACATGAGGTCTTCTCATAAAGCTGGTGACAGGTCTCGTCTGCATCTCAACCTTATGTTTTCACCACATTTGGACTGATCAAGCTGAGAAATATCCTCCACAGAAACAGGGTAAAGCTCAATATATTGCTAACATGTACCATACTAAAGGTTTACGGTGTGGCATACCGGTACAAATGTATATGTTTTGACGGTTAGTGTTAAATCAAGCAGAATAGAACAACTTTCGTCGAGTTTGACCAAAGCACATACTTGTGGATGTTTCATCGTATCACTGAGGTTACTTTCTCAAGCATGACGTTAGAGTTTTCCGATGGTTACTGGCGTAAGATTGGCACATCTAATAAGACTAACCGGTTGTTCCGTCTGGATGTTTTACTCTATAGTATTTGATGACCATGCATCTAAAGTAGAATGGCATGACCAATCTGGTACACTGTAAGAACATTGTTCCAAACCGTTCATCTGTCGTATTCATTGAAAAACACCAATAATATCAATTCCAAAAAGTTTAGGTACGTAGGTTTGTACAGAGTTGATGGCATAATAACAGGTATTCAGTCCACCCATATATCGGCAGTTCCTTTCATTTTATGGGCAAAGACGTCCCGCTTACACTTTCAAGTTTAGGATAGCCTACTTTACTGATGAGTCATAGAAGGACAAAACAGCTGTATGATGAAGTGTAACAATTTTTTGGCATATTTAAAGGTGCACTCACCTGCGTGTGTGTGTTACATGTACTTAACGTTAATGTTGGTGACGTGATCCTAATGCAGACATTGGATTTCTGTAGTTGACCTTACAAGTTAAATATTACGCTGCTTAGAGTTAGTCCTCTCTCAACCCCTACCCAGCTGCTGTATCCAACTGCATTATGCATTTTCCTTCCATATCTAAAGCAAAATGACTTGGTATCCTATTAATGATCGTGCGATAAGTCAGTTTGCTGGCACTATGGGTTCTGATTACGATGTCTGTAATTTAGGTTCCACTATAATGCCTTCGCTTCTGACGGATGCAATGCTCTCTACTAAACTCCCACTGAAACTGCACTTCAGTGGACAATTGCTTTATAATACCTTTTAACACTTAAATCTGTTAGTATGTACTGGTGGACGCGTCGACTGACGTAGCAGTCTCGGGCATCTTTTAACTATTGTCTCACTGCTAACTCCAACGTCTTGCTCTTTTCCAAATCATGAACGGATTAAAAGTGATAGGATTTTTCAGGCTGGGATGTAACCCAATCAATAACATACATACATATTCATCAGACCCCCTTATTTGACCTAAGGAACTTATACCAACTGAGATTACTGTACAATACCAACATACTTTAGATTTCCAGGTGTCATAACCTATACCCTTGTTCTCCCCGGTAAACAGCAACATTGGGAAGTTACCTTGAAAATTGCCTTGGAAGGTGTTGGCAGCGTCTTTTTCCCTTTTTCCCTTAGCCAAATGCCATATGCCTTAAAATCTTCAAGACATCGATTGTTTAGCAAAGAAGTTTCTGTTTCCGAGAACCCTGTCATGATTTTTTGTAAGCACTTTAACGCCATACTATAAATAAATGGCATAACATTGTGACAATACCACCATTAAATCGTCTGTTTATGTGTCGAGATAGTTCGTACAGTTTATACTCACGCATGTTAAGCGTCTATTAAGCTTTAAAACCAAATCCATGATTTAATTGTTGTTCTTTAATATTGAATAACAAATATCATGCTTGTGAATGGTCACAATTGAAATTGAGAGAATATGTATTTAATTAATTATACAAATTGATGTTTTTATTTTATTCTATGCACTGATATGTCATGGACTCTCTTGAAGATACAGATGCAAATATAGTTGATAAGACTGAACTATAAGCTATATGAACATTGCTTGTATATACATGTACAGATTTCTCACCCTTTATATAGATTTTAATATTAAAGCATTCAATTTTCCAATCTCATACATTGTTGTTTATAATGTATAAAACCCATTACTGTTAATGATATAAAATTTGCATACTTGACCTACATTTTGTATGTATGTTAAGTACGTAAGCACTGTGTCAGTAAACGTTCTGCTCTCAACAGGCAGCAGGGTGTGAAGGGACTATACAAGGGGATGGAGGCAAAGCTGTTACAAACCGTGCTCACAGCAGCCTTCATGTTCATGATCTATGAGAAGATTGCAGCGACCATATTCAGCATCATGGGCCGCAGTCAAGGTCAAGCTTCTAAATGACCCTGAATGAAAAGTAGGAATCAAAATAGATATAGTACCATTTCTGTATAGGTATATTAGGTCAATTAATCTGTTTGAATTTTTCGGTGCCCAGATTGCAAAACAATGAACTTTAAAGTTAAGTTACCTGTTGAATTGAATATTGAATTTACAAAAAGCAAATATTTTCATGTTTTGGCTTAAGATATATAAACCTTTATTAGATTTAAACTTTGAATCGAATCTGAGATTTGGTTCTTATGATTGAAACGTGTTTGTGGATACTAAAAGGTCAATGTCATTTTTGACAACATCTTGAAGAAAAGAGAATTCGATCGATACAAAATTAGAGTTTATAGAATAAGTACAATATATGTATAGATATATTTCCACAATAAATTGTTTAAAGTTATTAATCAAAGATAACAGTCATGTTTTATCAGGTTGTGTTTTTATAGAGGTAGTCATGTGATAGTGCACTATTTATAGAAATAATGCACTATTTATAAGACTTATGAAATGAGTTTTTTTTACATTTATATCAAGTTTTGTGTTTATATTTTGTGTATACATGACTATATAAAAATTAGCAAAGTGCAATGGAACTGTTCTCATTTTTTAACTGAAAGTAAGTTAAGTGTTTATTTTAAAGAACAATTTATTTTTTTATGAATTCATGCTTTTAGAAATTCTGGAGTGTACCGGTGTAATGGTTACAGTTGGTTCCACATAGTCTACGACAATAACAGTCCTAGGACAATGGTCTGAAGGACATTAAATTAACAAATAATTTTTATAATGAACTAGTTTTATGTCTTCCTGTAGTTTGTAATCGGTGTGTTTTAGTGTGACACGGTTTACTTTAAACGTTCCATTGTGAATACTGAAATCCTGACAAGATATGGAAATATCTTTTTCCTTACGTTTCAGTATTTGATAAGATTCAGGAAATTTGTTTATACTTTTGCATCATTTGGTTAACATGTATCTATACTTAACTGTAGAAGTGCCGAACTAGATTCATCGCCAGAGACAAGATTTAGGGGCGGGGGG